TAGCTTTGTTAGGCAGCGTTTGCTTGAAGCGGCCCCCCTGTGTAAAACAGCTTTTCTGCAAAAGACAACGCCAAGCAATGTGTGCACCCATGTATAAACGGTCAAAATAATCATGTCAATGGAGGCGAGCCCCTGCATCCATCATATAGGACGGTTCACACACACACACACACCCACGCACCCACCCACCCACGCCACATGCTCATCAGGTCCTGCGCTTTGCCTGAACTTCCAATCTCGTCACCCTCGCCCTGGAAAGTCACCTCTCCCGCTTGAAAAAGATCGCTTTGCCGTATTCATCGAAATGTCACGAAGCCTTTGTCCCAGCTTTCCATCCAGGCTTGACCTCAACTTCCAGCACAGCCTCACAGCACGTGCCACGATTGAATAAGCAAGTAGCTCTACGTATCAACAGCTGTCTGAGGATAACACCTCTGCCTCTCGAGGAAGCGTCGACGATGAGCGCTTCACCTTCACTGGCAAAGCGTATCACTGAGTTGTACAGGCCTATGATGTGCGCAGCATGTGCTGAGTGCCTTCATCTTCTTTGCTGCTCCATTGTACAGCTCCTCCAGTGGCGCTCCGAAATCAAAATGTGCCACAGCAGAAATCACAGTTCGATGCCCGCTCGAACACTGGTTCTAATGGCATGTTGTTTCGATATGTTTCGATGGTAAGCAATTAGGTTGCTGTCCACAACATGGCACACCGGCCTCAAGCGAGCAGGGCAGGTCAAAGACCGCAGGCCTGTTCATCGCAGTGACAAAGTCTAGCAAGGGCGAGGGGTGAATGCACACATGAACGGCGCCTGGAAGCATGGCTGCCTTGACCGGCACGCATGCCCGGCATGCTTCCACCCATGCCGCCCATGCCGCCCATGCCACCCATGCCGCCCATGCCGCCCATGCCTGCAGCCCGCTCACAAATGACGACTGAATTGTCCGCATGTGAATTCAGGAGACCATGCCTCCAAACATTCCAAACATTTCCTGATGCACTGGACAAATTATTTCATTTGACACAGCTGAATGAGCTTTGCCTCGAATGGAGACTCTCCAAATGAAGACGATCGATTGAAGGAGTCCTGCCGAAAGCAGGGCAGAAAGCCTGAACAAATCCTGCTCCACATCCTGGCAACCAGTTTGGTGGCCCTCACAACCATCGTGTCGAGATGAAGCATCAGTTTGGCGAATGCATGTGCCTGCCAACTGTATCCAGTCTTCTTAGTGTGACTCTGGCCGAAGATCATGCCACAGCAAGTTGGACTCGCTTGCCAGAGTACTTCAACTGGTATATCGCCAGCACTCAGCTCTCTGGCTCTAGTGCTGGGTGGCACAGTGGTCATCGCTCCCAGGTGCATAGGCTGGCCAAGCGGAGAATGCTTGGTGAGTTGGAGACGCGATTAAACACGAGGCGGACCTACGCGTAGGGAACTTATGGGGGGACAAGGTGCATGTGACGTGGGGCTTGATAAGACACCCCCCGAATGAATATTTCCAGCCAAGTTTGTTTGCGCCAAGCAGCGTTAGTAAGAGCAAGCAACTATGTCGCCCAGAACCGAGACCGCAGCTGGATCCTCCAGTCTTGTCTCGATCCATTGCCCAAGACCCTACCCCCGAAGCGCCTAACCGTTTAAGCCTAATCCCAAAAACTCCTAATTCATGAGCCCTAGCCAGCAAAACCTTTGCCACCCAAAATCCATCCCTCCTCAGCCGTACCAACCAAAAACACCGACCCAACACCCCCAACTTGAAGTAAGCATCAAGCTCTTGAATCCTAACCCGTCAGAAAGCCTTTACAATCGTTAGTTTCAAAACCCCCTTCTAACCTTGGCTCAAGTCCCTGAAGCCTAGAAGCCTCCAACTCTAATCATCTAGATCCTAAACCCTTGCCCTGAATCACCTCACCCCAAATATCACGATCCTGAACCCAAGACCTTATAACCTAAGAAGCCAAATCTTTCATTCCAAAACATCACGCACCCAAGCCCTCAGCTCTAACCATCATGAAAAAGTAAACCCGACTGCTACATACCTGAAAACACAACAATCAAATCAATCAAAGATAACCCCTGAAACCCTTCAACTCGGCCCTAGCCTAATCAAAGCCGAGAAACCTTAAGCCCTCACCCCAAGTCCCGAAACCGTAACCCTCAGAATCCCGAATCTTGATCCTAGGTCCTAGGACCCTTGACACTAACATCCTCAACATCAAAACATCCAATGCAACGTCAAGGGTCATTTTACGGCTGTTTTGAGTGTCGCTGCATGTGAGGGCTCTCATGCATGCTTGCCGCGGCTTGCGGGCTGCACGCATAATGCACGAAGTGTCCCCGACTCATGCCGCTTCCGTTCCTGACTCGCTGTTCCCGGCTCCGCTCTTGAGAGTGCAGCACTCAAGCTTTCTGTCACCCAGCCTTCCTTTAACATGTGACAGGCACATTCCCTTCAATTTGACTCCAGAGATGCCTCTACAACATGAGCTCTTCACCTTAAAGGTTCTCTTCTGACGGGCAAAGCATGATACAAGGTGTCGCGTTTTGCAAAGTTGCCCTGCAGCTGCCACCTCTGCACATCCCTGCAAACATGCTTTCTCTACAAGCACCGCGTTCATTGTCCTGTTGTTTGCAAGTCTGTCTGCTAGCTGAGTGGGACCCACGCGGCCACTTTGATTTTGCAAAATGAATGTGTGCGCCAACCTGAAGTCTTAGCACTAGCTCAACAACTTGAGCAAAGCCGCAACTCACTTGCACGATAATAACTGCTAGACTGTACTGAATGGCTTGCAACTAGTGCGCCAAGCAGGGCGTGATCCAGCTACGTACTACAAGGGCAGAAACAAGCTTGCGCTCCTTGAAGAACCTTGCGAACATGTCGTTCGGGTCCTTGGCAAAAGAGATCTGGAAATGGTCCCCCTACCCTTGCCAAAACCTGCCCTGTGGCCTGGCCGGAACAGGCTGTGCTGAGGCCTAGCCCAGCACAAGCTGCACTTCAGAACCCGGAAATCGGTCTAAGTCCAGATTCGGAACGCCATAAACTGTGATCTGGGCAAGCGAGTGTGCAAGCACAGCCTCTGAACCATAAACCAAGCTTGTGAATTAGTTCTGAAAGCGTTCTGTGATCTCATCTCAGCCTCTCAAGCCATGTGTTCAGAACTGCAGCATCCTTTTGTCAAATGGCTACAATCAGAATGCCTAACCATCCCTGCAACCAAGGCAATAGGATGACTAATCTAGTGGGATCGGTTTGCGTTTTCAAGTAGATAGGGTTGATGGGGTGCGTTCCGGCTGGGATGTATCGGGTAGAGCGCAGCCCAGCTTCCCCAGAGAACTGGTAGTGGAAACCTCCGGGCCCACCAGGCATGCCCGCACTGCCGGCAGAATCTGGCCTTGCAACAGAAAATGGGCAGGTTCATCTTGGAGCAGCTTACCTATGGGAGTTTGTCGAGAATCCTATGCCACAAGTAGTTGGAGTGTCCTGTTGCTTTGGGGAATTCTTGCGATGCATGCAAAAAAAGCGATACCTTAATCATATCTTCTTTCACGTTCAGCGAATCCAAGCGACAGTTTTTGACAGCTGGAACATTGTTCGTGTTTGGCAGTGCATCACTGGGGTAGCTGCCCTGGTGCTCCCTTCAGACCATCCTCGCCGTATTGGTCATAGATGGACCTAGCAGCTTAGCATTCACGAGCCCAGCTGTGTAAGAGCCCTCGCTGACAACTAAGCCGCCATCTTCTTTTCTGGATCGCTCAGGACATCATAAGCCTGCATGTGATAAATCTTCCATGCGCACGCCATCGCGGCCGCATGCGGCCGCTCACAAAGCCTCCGCAATGTCCTTGAACTTTTCCTCAGCCTCGGCTCGGCGCTCCTCAAGTCAATTCAAGCGTCAATTCAAGCTTATTTTTTTCTGAGGAGGTCTGTCGATTGTGGCGCTTGTGCAGCTTGCAGCCTGGTTTTTGTCCGGATGCCACTTCAGGGCAGCCCTTCGGTACCTTGGTCCACAACACTCCGGCCACACAGAGCCCACACCGCCTGCTCGCGGACCAAGACACGCTTTCTTGATATCGTCCTGGAGCAAGTTGCAAACACAGGTGTGCCCAGATCCGCCAGAACATTCCGCACCGAGGTATGATCATTCAAGCGGACCCCTACATGTCCTGGGGGGTGCTAGGATACAGGATTCAAGCCCGGGCTTTCAGGTACTGATATTAAGAATGGGCATATAGCGCATGTCACAAAATCAGTCCGTCCTGGCTTGCATCCTTGCCAATGCCCAGGATTCCATAATAGTCCTTGCCCATATCCTGGCTTCTTGAATTGAATCAGTTGAACATGTGTAAGTATTGTGTGATGTGGCGCGTCTTGACATCTGGTGGCTTTGCAGAAGCTGAGCCCGCGCTCCTCGCGGCGAGGCAGAAGTGGCAGCTCTGCCGCTTCCGTCCTGATCCCTGATGACTTCTTGGACCCAGATTCAAGCAGAAACTCGGGTTGCAAGCAGTCTCCAATTGACCTGCTCCGGACCTGTTAACGGCTCTGCTTTTTCATGGCGCGAGCTCCGGGCACTATGCTTCATATGCAGAAGCTATACACATAAGAGTCGAAGTCTGGCCCTATTTCCCGTCCAGCGACTGTTCATTAACGCGTGCTGAGCCAAGCAGATTCCGAGCTGACGAAGTCTGCTGGGCTTTGGCACAGGTCTTGAAGCCCCAAGTGGGAAGCTCGTCACTTGCCAGCTACCGCCTGCAGGTACTGTGCATCATGCTAGAAGATCTGCAAGCTGTCGGCTGCACATGGACCCTTGGAGGGCGCACTGTGGCATCAGCTTCTTGAAGATCTCTGGAGGGCAACTGGTCCGTTCCTCACTTCAGGAAAGCTGACCTCGTTTCGACTCAAACTCTTTGATGTCCTGCTCCGTGAAGTTGAACAGATCTGCAGCCTCGCCAACAGCAGCCAACACACGTCAACACGTAATTCAGCGCATATCCGATGCTTTGGGTAGATGGCTGATTTGCATTCAGCACGCCCAAGAAGGTCCGTGCTGGGTCAAGTTTGGTCGGTTTTGAAAGTTTGGTCAGTTGATGAGGAGGCTCAAGCTACCAGCATCCCCAAATCCAAAGCAGCATCTGTGCATATGCCGCGGAGGACCCAAATCAACGAAGCAAAGTAGATCAATGCTTCAAGAAACTAGCACGCAACTCCATCTAAACAAGGAGCACGCAGTCGCAGGGGCACATGATCTACACGGCTTGAGCTAGTCAAAATGTGCGCACGGCTTTTTTGAGCATGTTGCTCTGCATAGCAATCTGAGGTATCAACGACACTCTTCGGCCGACGACGCAGCTCGCCAAAGAACTGCGCAGCCTGGAACCGCACTCTTGACAGGCCTCCGAGATCAAACCATGACGGTGCGGCACCATGGCTTCCATCGGACGAGGTCGCTTTCTCGGATCAAACCTGCAGGAAACATGTGATCAGGAAGGGAACGGCAAAAGGCTTGTCTCAAATGTGCTGCCAGCTGGGGTCGCTGGCTGCAACATGTGGCCTAGAATCTCCTCTGCCTTGCAGGGGAATTTGAGATGCAAACGGAGCATGCCAATACCGGCTGTGATACCCAGCCCAGGCTCCTCGGCAGTCCATCGCTCGCGCAGAACTTTGCTCCACTTCAGGGCCGGGACTTGCGTGAAGATGGCTGCGCAGGGGGCTGTGAGAAACCGCCGCTTCATCTTCATGAGGTCTGTCCATGCATGACGGCCTACCGAATCTATCTGCAGAGGCAAAGGATGCCCCTACATAATCGGAATCGTCTGTATGCATGCCATCTCCATCAGGTATGCTTGCCTCCTGCATCGTAGTAGGGATTCATGGCGTAGAGCTGCTGAGCAGTTGGAGTTCCCATGATCTGTGGCAGAGATATCAGGCTCTGCACATGGCAGTCCTACACTGCAAACATCTTCAAGCAGTGTGCCTCAATGATTCTGAACAGCTGGTCTATTCCGTCCTGCGAGACATGGGCCGCTACCGAGATTTTTCCACAAACACATCGCTGGTCCGTGGAATTGCAATACTGCATCATGATTGGGAAGAAGCCTGCCTTCCCCGCAAAGAGTGGCTGCTTAAGGAGGATTTCCCCAAGAACGCAGCCAGCAGCCCACATGTCCACGCTGGAGGTACTGGGCGCAGCAGACATCACATGCATCAGCATAGGAGCGTACGCTGAAGACTGGCACTCGGCTCTACGTCCACCAAGCGGGCCAACCGATCACTTGCGACCATAAAAAAGACCATCACTTGCAACTACAAAGCTCCGTCAGTTGCGAGTACCGAAATGGCATCGCTTGCGACAAACTTCCGCGCCGCGTGACTACCCCTTGGATGCCTCCCAGATTCGCGTTTGCTTCGGAGGCGTGCAAAATCACTTTGACTGCAAGGCCTTTTCACAGGCTGCGAGGAACTCACTTGCGATGTTGTTTGACGTTTGTTGTACCCACTGTTTTTTTCTCGGGATTCGGTTTTACCATGTAACAGGTTTCAGGTCTTAGGGGTTTAAAGATTTGAAAGGTTGTCTGTTGAGGCACGTCTTGTGGACTTAGGGGCTTACGGCTTTCACGGGCTTAAAGCTACTCGAGTCAGGGGAGAGAGAGTTTGGGTTTCTTAGGACTGAGAAGTGTCAAGGTTCACGGTGCCTGTGTGTGTGTGTGCAAACTTTGTCACCAAAGGCACAATAGTTTCAGCTGTGTACACGCAGTGGGCATGGACGGTCATGTGCTCTGCCATGCCAACGAAGCTGTGGAACTTGATTGGAAGGGAAGGTGGACGCAGATTGCTGTACCTGCAGGACAAAAGGTTGGCATGGGTGACTGAGGTCGCAGCTTGCAATCTCTTGTTTTGCCGTAAAATGTTCAGATGTCAGGCAAGCACTGTTAAGTACAGTTCCATGTGGATCAAGCAAGCTGCGGATGGAGGTGCTGCAGAGAAGTCTCACCAAAAAAAATTCAGAACTCAAGCGCATTCGGTCCCATACAGGCCCGCGCATAGCCCCTATAAGCCAACGCACACGCAACGTTCGGGCGCTGCTGTAAGGATGGTTGCACAAGTCCGCACCCACCACATCTCTCATAGCTTCGTTGGGCAACGTAGAGAGATGGGCCATGCGCCCCCCCCCAGTGCTGTTCAACATCAAGTAACACGAACAACCCTTTAAAAGGCACGCGGGGTGTGCACGCAAACACACATAGTCACAACCCCCCAAACTAAAAACTGCCGAACCAATTGGGGGCATGTATAACAAGGACTCTAGCGTGCTTGGGGGCTATACACGGAAACTACCCAGTAATACTTGGGCAAAAACGAAAAACTTGAGCTAGCCAGGATGATGCTCACAACGTTGTGCATTGGTCGCCATTGGACCTTTGGAACTGAAGTGGCACAACGCCAGGGAAATACGGCCAAGAATCAAGCACGCGGAGGCCCCCATAAGGCCCTTGTTGCAAAAAAATCTCCAGAACACATGGCACAGGGACACTTGCAAGTCTAAGAACTTAGGATTGGAATGGGGAAGTCCTGGGCCCTGCAAACGTTTTGAAACAGATTGAACATTGCACCCTGAATCCGTGGTGATCCATGCAGACGCAGCGCGATGCAGATACAACACCGTACAGAGCTTCGTGCAGGGCTTCATACACGGGACCGAGTATCCTTTCACGGCTCATATAGGTTTCTATGTGGAACTACAAGATCTTGAGACTGCTGAAATGCAGCCTCAGCATACAAACAGCTAAAGCATCGTGTGGTTCAAATCCGTGACCTTACCGTCCCAAAGAGGCACAAACCACGTCACATAGTAAGCAGTAACTTATACTGTTGCACGGTGGAGCAGTGGGATCGTAATTTACAGCCATGGGCGACAGCTTTGCCCCTGGGGTAAGCTTTAGGCTTTAGGATGCTTTAGGGCTGCTTTGCACTGCGGACGACGACAAGTTCAGCCCAGAAGGCAAGACCTGCTCTGGACCACGGGCTCTGTTCTAGAACGTGCGGTATCTGCAGCACGTTTCAGTGAGTGCCTTGATGCGTGGAAGACAGTGTGAAAACCAGATAGGAGCCACGAACCCGAATGCAGACACGTGACACGTACATGCAATGATAATAACACNNTCATAGCTTCGTTGGGCAACGTAGAAAGATAAAGAAGCCGCTGCCCGTCTGCCTGATGGAAGTGAGCTCTTCTCTGCGTGTTGGAACCGAGTTGATGTGCAAGAGTTTGAGAATGACGCCGGCCAAGAAAAAATCAAAAGCATCAAAAGAGAAGACCTTTGGAATTGGCAAACAGGGGGTACACACTCAGCCAACTACAGCGACCGTGCCAACGCAGATTCCGATTCCCCTGGCAGTGAGGCCACCATCCGGCAACCCGACACCGCCAACGTCAACACCGACGACAGTTTAACTTTTGTGGGTTTTTCCGACAAAACGCTGAAAAGATTTTCGTTGTACACTTCCTGTTCCATGATCAAGACCCAATTCGTTCCGACACATTCAATAGCCTGGCACTTTGCCTTTAAAATCACGTCCCACAGCTACACCATGGCATTGACAGAGTTGGCGCAAGAGAGGATATCCAGGATCCACCACGAGGCAAACAGCCTTATGGCACGTATTGTCATCCCGAGTTTCAATGACACAGATGAGGACACCTACCTACCATGGTACATGCTCTCATATGGCAAGCCAAACAGTTCATAGATCATTTGCGGATATCTCTCGCATGTCCGTCAACTGCGACCTCGGCCCTCTTGCACACATGATCTTCAGGCGTTGTCGTTTCTCGAGGCAAGAGAGGTATCGCTGCCACTTCCAGAGCTCATGGTCGAGAAGTACAACACCTTCCGCGTCATGAACGACATTAGCTGATTCGCAAGCCCATCTTACTCGGCACTCTTACCATCACAGACATGATCTCCATAGGAGCCCAGCGGGACCTCCTTTGGAAATCACCCGGTGATGGCATCTTAGAAATGGAATGCTCTGATTTCCTCTTGTTGGACGCCTGTAAACGCTTTCATCTGGATTTCCGGCGTCAGGCTGAGTGTGGCGAAGTTTCACCTGGAATTCCTGTCTCCAGGTGTGAGTTGGTACGCGCTGAGCGCATTGGGTGAGCCATCCGTGCCTGTGACTCTATCAAGTAAACTACACGCTCACACTGGTCTCAAGCCCACAATAGCATCTCAAAGTCCTGACAACCGATAACAATAGATGGAGAATCCTCAAGTAATGAGGCGCAAATCTGATGGCAGGCATCATCGAAAACACAGTCGCATCGCACTTCCACATTGTCTCTGAATACGCATGTCCCATGCACATGCCAATGCCCAGCGACAAGATATAGTTCAAGTGGCGTCCCATTCTGCTTCCACCAAGACCCGCTGCTCCCCTGCCTGTTGGCACTGAGCTCTTCCGTGCTTGTCGGAACTGAGTTGCAATGTGCAAATGTAAAAAAAAAAAACTTGCTCCCGCCAAGGAAAATCCAAAAGCATCAAAAAGATCCTTGGTCTTGGCAAACATGGGATACCCACACTCAAACCGACTCAAACCCCTTCGGAAGGGGAAATTTTGTCCGAAAAACAAAATGGGTAAGCTCTCCTTGCTCTGGCTAATTCTTCCAACTGCACGTGGAACGTGTTTGACACGGGACCCTCAGACGTGAAGTCCAGGAAGATGCCGATCCGGCAGCTCGGTTTGCAAGAGTTCGCGATGAGGATCGAACCAGGCACGTCGCTCCTACTTCCAATCCTCCCGTGTCGGCCTTGGGACGTGAAAGTCGGACGTGAAAGTCGGACCAGCATGCCATGCTAACGGATGATCGATCGCAGAGCGCTTTCCCATACCAGCTAAGGGTAGGCCACGCTCCAGGTCCAGAAGCAGACGTATCATCGTATAGGTAATGATCAGTGGCAGCCGATCAGGAAGAAGATCAACCAGGTTTCTGTGAATGTTGTGACAGTCCGATGTGCTTCATTTCGTGTGTGTGCTTCAATCTGCCAGATTAGTGCATGGAATGTTTACAGTACGGACTCAGAGTCCAAGCAGGGAGAAGGAGTGTGCCTAAGAGGCTCCTGCCAATGAAAACGCTCTTAAGGCACAGTGTATGCAGAAGGGACCCTTTCTTACCTGCATGTACAGACAGACTGACAGCCTTTTTTCAGAGTCATTTATCCAGGGTCAGGGCGCTCAGGACAAAGCTGATTGCGTGATGGAGTTGCTGTGGCATGTTGTAAGTTAGAACCTCTGCAGGCATGCTGACACAAATATGATATCAGGGCATCTGTTGCAGGAATTTTTGATGTTCATGAACCATGAACATGTTCGAAGGTTCTCTTACAATCTTCGACAGGAAGTCACAATGGATCTTCTCAACTTCGTGTGTGTTTGGGTTGTACGCTTTGGCTTGGGCTTTAGAATCTCAGGGCGTTAAGGTTTGCCCCACACATGCAACTCCAAGAACATCTTCAGCGCTCAGGAAAACCTGCAAAAGTAATGCAAACAACCCAAGAGCGGGCGAAAAGGACCATCTCAAAAAACAGTCACAAGCGATTTGACCCAAAACGGTCGAGCAAAACATCACACACGGTAAAGAACAAAAACACAAGCGATGCAAAAAAAAGGGGTCGCAAGCGATGGTAGCTCCAGTCATCCAGACTATGCTCGTGAGATATATCCTGGCGCGCTAGAAACAGAAAAGCATGGTTTGAGCGCGGCACTGTTCACGAGCACTCAGAATCAGCTCCGGAGCACGATAGAAACCTTGCAGAGGCATCGCTGAGTTGAGCGGAGCAGCTTGTCTCGACGTTGGGCCGAGTTGCGCGAACAAACGTATGCTTGTGATACCTTGCAATGCAAAGGTGCAGCTGTGCACAGGTCTTCATCAAGAGAAAGGGGCAGCACAAGGCGGTAATGGGTAATGCGGGCTCGCATGGCGGGCAAACGGACACTAGCTTGCCAAGTCTTGCAAGCAGATGCTTGTGAAGTATTTTGCCTTGATTCATCTCTTCTTCCATTCAATCCTGCCCTAGCAATCTTAAGAGTCCCGCCTCGGATGTGTTGACCCACTTTGCCGTTCCAAAGTCACAAACCTGGCAGAACCCCTCTGAGCGGAAGGTTTCTGTTCATGCTGAAGCTTTTGGCGCTGTCTGCACTCTCAATCTGGCATGCTAAGTGCGTCAGTGAGGGCTGCAAGCAGGCTCTCAATGCAAAGACTCACATGATGAAAATCCTCATCGAGCGCTTCTTGCAGCAAGTACGCTCGCGATTTGTGCCTTCAAGGTGTACGTTGCAGGGTCCACAAGCAGATTAGCCGGCTTAATGTCGCGGTGTACCTGTAATAGAGACTGCCAAAAGAGCAAATGCTTGGCGATGCTAAGTCGACTGGCGGCGCGCCACGCCATGTCTGTACAGGCTGTCGAGACCACGCAACAGCTGGTACATGTAGACACCTGGGTGCTTCCAATCCAAGGTAGACACGTCTCATCATGCATTTGTGATCTGGCTCTGGGCAGTTAGGCAACTCTAGGGTTCTTGCGGACACGATGGAAGTCCATGTCCGTACCCTGATCGAAAGTGCTCCGGGCTCAGCCCATCCCTGCTTGCTCGTTGCTGTACACACGGCTGGCCTGCTGACGATGATGCTTGATGATGCGCCCCAAGGTGTCCTTGCAGACTTGATACCAATGTACCGATGCTTCCGTCTGCAAGCGCTTCTGGACTGTAGTTGGCACCGTTCATTCATACAAAAATGCCTGTCTTCCTAAGGTTTAGATGCCCCGTGGCCTGTGCTAGCTCTGGAAATGTTTGAAATTCTGGATTGTGAAAATGTGCTTCGAATGTGTTTGACAATGCGGGGTGACTGTGCTTCCATTATTTACTGCGAATGGTAATGCGCTGGAAATGCATCTAACTTGTGCTGAGTATATGTTCAAACTTGTTTTCAACGGGTGAAAGCCGAGATTCCAAAAAGATGTGAGATCAGATTAAAATATGTTTCGAATAACAAGTTTTAGTTATGTTGCAATTGTGTGCTGATTGCTTTCTGCGCATTGCCAGGCCACGCAAGAAAGAACATAAAAACAACACACCTTCAATGCATCTCCTGGGCACCCCCTGAAAACGTCCGGGACCACCTGAGAATAACAAATCTTTGAGCAATGCGTTTAAAGACTTTTAAAAGCGTGGTTGTTTGGCGGTATATTGTGTAACAACTGTTTCCACGCTGTCCTTGGAAAGGCCAAGGAACAAAAAGGCAACAAAAAAACACCACACTTTCAACGGGCGCGGGGTGTAACAGTGTAACGGGTACCATTTTGACCGTAACGGGAACCAGTTTTCCGGACTCGTAACAGGAACCAGCCGGGACCATAACAGAAACCGCAGCCAGAACGTAACCGAAACGAGGCCGCCAAGCAGCCGAAACCGAGACCGGAACCGAAATCCCGGAGCCCGAATCTCGCAAAATGGGGGACCGAAAATCGGTCCCTCTCCAGGACAACTTTTTGCAACTTGCTTGTACTTCGTTCTACTCATTTTTCTGCTTGAACTACAATTAGTGCTACTGCTACACTCCTTGTTGCAGCTGGCTTGTACCTCGTTCTGGTCATAATACTTCTACACTCCTTCTCCTTTAAATCCTAAACCTAAACCCTGCAGCCAAAAACCCTAAACTCCAAGGCAAAGCTTTGGATCTTCACACTCCATGGGTCAAGGTGTAAGGTTTAAGGTTCTGGATCGAGCGGATCTATTCATTATAGGGATAACATAGGTTGCTATACGCTTTTGGGGCGTTATATACAACCTTACTACTACTGCTACCACTCCAAATATGATGGTACAGTAACAAGTACCTAAACCCTAAAACCCTAAACTTCAAGCCAGAGCTTTGGATCTTCGCCCTCCGAGGGTCAGGGTTTAGGGTCTACGGGTCAAGGTTCGGGGCTTCGGGTTGTGGATCAAGGGGAATGAATTATTCATTGTAGTTGTCACGTTGTAACAATTAATAGAGGTTGCTATATGTTTTTTAGAGGTTATAGGTTATAAGTACACTTACTAAGTTTGACCTTCCAAGTAAGGCAGAATCGCGAGCCCCAGCCCAAGTAGGGACTACAAAATGTTGGTCCCCGTTTTATAGAGCTACAACTTCTAAACCCCAAAAAATTGGATCCGAAAACCCTAAACCTTAAAACCTAAGCCCTGAAGTTCACATGTTTGCCCTTGCTGCAAACAGAGAATTTGAGGTTGAGAATCTCCACATTTGTACTTGAGGTTTTGACTTGGTTTAAGGTTGGTAGGAAGCCGGAAATGCCCGACTAAATGCATCTAGAAGCGGGACCGAAAATCGGTCCCCTTTGGCACAGTGCGAAGAAGAAACTTGTAGCACGTCTGAACACATGTATGGGTTTTCCCAAGCCCCGGCTGGTTCCCGTTACGCGGGGCCCAGCGGCCCTGTTTCGGAAACCGGCCGGTTTCTGTTACGGAATTGGGGCCGATTCCTGTTACACTCCACTGTTACGGACAATCGGTTCCTGTACTTCCAATCCTCCATTTTCAACGCATCTCCTGGGGAGCCCAAATTCAGCGAGAAAAATGTCTTAAAAAGACGCAGTTGTTTTGTGTTGGTGTTGCTTTTCTTGTTTGTCTTGGGCGGCTTCTCAAAATTATGTTCTCCACGTTTCCAAGGAATGGCATACAAACAAAAAACAAAAGCGACTTCTTTGTTAACGCATTTTCCAAGACATTCGCTGAATTCGCAGGTGGCCCCAATCCCAGGACATGTTGCTTTTCCAGCTTTGTTGGCATTTCCTAGGAAAGCATGGGCACGCATTCCGCAAGGAACGTTAAAAGGGCATTGCACATCTGACGCAAGTTGTTCCGCATCTCAAACAGCGCTGCTTTTGCCATGGCGACACTTGTTTCGCATGTCCAAGACCCTCTTCTCATTTTGTGCATCGGTGCTTTGCCGGAACACATTCTCAGCGCAGTGCTGTCATATGTTCAACGCACTTTTCGCGCTTTTCCGCACGTGGACAACACACTTTGAACGTTTGCTTTTGAGTCTTTTCGGCTACCCCAAAGGTGGCGGAGACAGAAAAGATAGATGCTTGTACAATCCAAGGAGCAGAGAGATGAAGGACGTGACAATCTTCTTTTCTCTGCCACCCAGCATTAACACAAACAGAACTTCAAACTCTTAAGGTAGCTGAACTATGCTGAAATGACAGGCTACACAAACAGCCATGTCATATTGACACGCAAGCACCTTCTTTGGCATCGCAACCGCAAGGCTACCAGCGCGCAGAAGCACACTGAGGCAACGGCCGACATGTACTCCAGTACGAAATTCACTGTGCGGACCTTCAGGAAAGTCATCTCTGGCAAAAACTCAATAGAAATGGCACTGTGAAGACTGCTACGGCGTGAAGGTTGCTGCAGCACTCTACCAGCCTTTTACTGCCACCTCCAAGTCTAAACATGGCCTCGCAACAGCCTTGCGAATCCCTGACATGGCAGCACGTAGACGCATTGCTGCCACAGCCAACCCGTATACAGCTTTCATGCCGAGCGAAGGTGATGGGAATTCGTTTATAGTGTAAGGAGGCTTTTTATTGCCCTTGGCAGAACACAACAGGGGCGACAGCCCAATTAATGGTATCATCTCCAGAGACACAAGGATTGCCCTCTTCGATATGTCGTGCACATCCTGGCTTGTACTAGTTCTTACCTCACGGAGCTTCAACCCCTTCAACTTTCTCCTAGGCTTTTCTGCCTGCTGGGCGTTGCTTGTGCTCCTATCACGTATTGGTGAAGGCATAAGCCTTGTTGTAAAAAAACAGATTGAGCTGTGAACCTGCTCCGCTGAAAGTCTCTCTTATTTAAAAGCCTTCGGCCATCTTCCGCCTGCTGACGCTCCATCGCGGCGTCCTCGACGCCCTCGAAGATCCCAAGCAGCAGCACAACCTGAAAGTGCCGAAGTGTGCCGAAGTGTGCAAAAGACTTGTCATCTGCTGTTGCCGCCATCCACGCCATGTTTGATCTGATACAGTAGAAGTGAGCTCAGCGAAGTGGACATCTCGTCAGGTAGCTTCATTGTGGCAAAGCACGAAAATTGCAAACTACGGAGGATTCTGTCAGGCACTTATTACAAACACGCTTGTGGTTCATGAGGGACTTGGCAGGCATGTATCTTCTGACCGCTCTCCAAGCACAAGCTGAGCCATCTGCGTTGGGGCTACCATTGAGACGCCGAAGGACTTCCATCTGGCAACAACCAAAAGGCTACCAGCACAACAGGAACAACCCCCAACAACAGTTCAACGCCGTCCACCTCTCTGCCAGCCCCGTTCAGGGCAACCTTCGGCTGCTTTAGGACGATCACCGGACTCTTGAAAGTCTGCCAAGCTTAGCCGCTTGCTGTCTTTATGGCAACAGTCCGTTGGCTGCGGAGCTCCATCGCCTGCTGACGTTCCAAAGATCGATGCCCAATGCAAGAGAAGCATCTGGCCTTGCAGACTGTGCCAAAGGTTCCCTTTCCCAGTACGCACCTTCAGCTTTGTCACATGGGCGCTATGGCTGCCAGGGCAGATGAACGAGATATGAAGCGTACTGCACGCGATATCTCGGCCCTGGAGGCCATGAGTCTTCAGCTCGGTGGCGCATGACCTACAGCAAAAAAACACAATTTATCCAGCCGCACCTATCCGCAAAAGAGGGGGACCCGGCCGGCGGCTCGTAAGGCCGGTAGGCATGGCCCGTGCCCTCAACTGGATGAAGCCTCTGAAAAGCACCACGCTGACGAGAGCCATACCAAGTGGACGCAGATGCCACCAAGGCGCCGCGGAGCGAGGGTGGACTGAAGCCTGGGACTTCCACGCGCGTACGCGTAAGCTTCCACAGCAGGGCTCTAGTAAGCTCTGCGCGGCGGGGGATGCAGCTGAGGCCGTCGTGGAACGTGGAAGTAATCGTGGAGGGCATCTTCGGGAGGATCCTCACAAGCAGCTCACAAGGTCTGCATGGCAGCATAATTCAGCTACTATGCAGGTGGTGCGCCAGGCGTCTCCGTTTTGGGTCACCATCCATGCCTTCAACATGCTAGATGCGTCTGCAAGAAAAAGTCAGCAGTGTCCAGGCCTTACACATGCAGAGAGCACGTCATCTGCTTTTGCAGCTGACCGCGGCAAGCCCTCCATGCTGCGTGCAACGAAGCAACATCTCTCGTGTTTTCACGCGATCCTCAGGCTTGTTGCGGCTTGATCTGCTTGCGTGTGAAAGCAAGCAATGCGGAGATCCTGAAATGATTGCAAATTGCTATTACGCTGGGCTCCTTGCCAAATTACAGCTACGCTTGTGCAGAGATTGGCCAAGAGCAATCATGCAAAGGTACATCGACCAAACAGCGAATTGCCAATGGTGCGAGGAACTCAGCACGAAATAGCAATGCCTTTTCCATGACCGGCACACGGTACCCTGGCACCAGGTGCCCGCAACTGGAAATGTAGCACCACCCCTCTGTAAAGCAGATCAGCAACAGAAGACAGTACCTGAAACATGATCTTATTTTAAGGGCCGTGGCTTCTGCTTTCCAACACAGGCATGCTGGTTTCCCAAGAGAAGCAGCCCCTCACGAATCCAGGCTTGGAGGCCTTGACCAACATGCAGAAAACTGATGTGACCGGTCTGCACATCCAATCCAACCAAAAGAGAATAAAGCTGTCCTGGTGCTCATGCTTCTGTTCAACACACACATGTCTACTCCCGGCAAGGCTGGCTTCAGAATTTTTTGGCATCCCTGGCTGCTTCGTAATTTGAGAAACCCGTCTGCAGCGTGCTGCACTCATGAGATCATCCAGCTGTCTTTGCACTCCAAACAGGGCACCTGCTAACCACATCTCCACACTTGGCTTCAAGCCTGATTTGGCGAGCTGTCAGCCACCAGGTCCAGGGAATGTTCTCGCAAGCGACGCCATGTGCATGGCGGTTTGCGCCCACGCCTGCAGGACGATCATGAAGTTGAGTTGAATTCAGAAGTCTTAACATCTTGCAACCGCTCTCAGCAGGGTTTCACCTCTGCCCAACTCATTAGTCATACTGAGAATGTTAAAAAATTGAACATTCGAGATGTATGCTCGCATGACTGCAAGGGGAGTTCACGTTGCCTTCGCTGGATTGTTTGGCCCATGCGAACGCTCGCTGGCTTGCTCCTGCAAACACTTTGGCATTTCATGGCAAGACAGGCTTTAAGCGGCTGCAGGGCTGCAGGCAGTAGCAATTCGAAAGACATCAACATAGGCAGGCGGCCAATTTTGCGCTCAGCCTTCAGACGTCCAAGCACTGCCCAAGCGCGGCAAGCTGACCCGCCATACCTTGTTGCTAGTCAACCAGACTCTCCACGTCATCCTCTGCGCGCAAGGTGGAGGCGGAATGGATGTCCACAAGGCTCCTCTTGTCTCTTCAGCATTCACTTTACGCATGCGCTGCTTGCAGGCAGTCTCGAGGATGATGTCTCCATGTCCAAGCTCGGGTGCACTCAAACTTCAGGACTTGCTGACAGGACGGAATGTTGGAAGTTTCACTCCAAGCGGCTTCGTGAACATTGGTAAGCCAACCTCAGCGCCCAAAAACTTTATCGTCATGAGTCTCGGCATAGCATCCACAATAAAAACCTTCACTCAGACAAGTCACGCCAAAGCAAAGCACCACCAAGGCCCATGGCTGAGGCTGTGCCCACTCAAGAATACCACGAAGCCGTGGCCCAATCAGCGCCCACCACAGTCCCATACAGCAACCCCATGCCACACCACCAAGAGTCTGTTGAATTGTATGGTCTTTGTCCCAAATCCGTGCTGCAGCCATTGCTCCTGAAGGTAAGATGGCTACGAACACAGCTTTCTTGAACGGGCAACCCAAGTGCAGTCCCAGGTATAAGGCAAAGTAGACGGAGATGAAAGTCATGTTCGACGTATGGCTGCTGGGAAAACCGGGATCCTGCATAGAGTCTCTTCGTGAGCCTTCGGGCCTTCTCCAAATACTCGCGGGAAGCGTTCGCTTGACGAGCTGCTTCAAGGCCTTGGTGACAATGTTTGCCACAATCACGCCAAGAGTACCCAGGGGCGCAACTTCTCGCCGAAGCACTTGAAGAATGCTCATAGTCAGAATTACAGCAACAGTGATCACATTGGAGAGGCCCACCACACGAGGGCGTTCAGTAGCAGTCTGAGGTGAGCTCTTTGTCACCACATTCAACAGATGTGACCGCCTATAGGAACGGCCAAAAGCCGGCTGGAAAGCAATGCAGAGACCTGCAGGAACCAAAGACCAGGCAACGCCTTCCCAACGCACCGGCTTGGCAAAGCTTCTAATTGGTCTGGGCCATGGTTGGCTATGGCATGGGGGGCTCACGCCGAGCATGTTCGCCATTGCTCGAATTGCTCTCCCTAGCTGGCCGGAAAAAAGGGCGGATCTGCACGAACGTCTTGAAACGGCTCTAGCAGACTCCGGTCATGAAGTGCTTGACATCAAGACCGTGATCGTGGTGGCATCTTCCCATGTCCTCATTCTGACACATGAGGATTCCAAGTATGATTGGCCTCAGTACGCTTCAAGACTTCCCCAACTTTCTTCTATGACCTGGGAGCAGGACGTGTCTTGGATAGCATTCAGCTCGGTGAGACCACTCATCACCTCGCAGCATTTGACAATTGATTTCCACGAAAACGTAAACACATCGGCTTGCACTGCGCAGTTTGTTGCTGAGCGCAGCTCCGCGTTGCAGGTGCGATCGTACAAGTCGCTGGAACCTCTAATCAGTACGCCAATGGCCTCAGAGATGCATGCATGCATG